CACCTTGGAAATCGGGGACTGGGGCGGCCAGGATCGGCTTGCAGGCTTGCTCTCGTTGGGGCGCTGGACCCACTTTCCAGCGTCGCCGGGCGCGGGTCGGGGAGGAGGCGCCCCACTTCCCCGGCTGCGAAATGGGGTGACCGCTCCCACCGCAGCGTGGCTGCGAGGAGTCCGTGGCGGCGAGTGTAAGGCGCCGCAGGAGTCAGCGCGCGCGGGTGTGAGCGCCGCCTGCTCCCGGGTCGGGAGAGTCGGAGGGACGCGCAGAGGGGGCGCCCGGCGTTTTCCCAGCTTCGACTCCCCTCGAGGAAGTGAGCGGTTTGGGAGGAGAGACGTCTCTCCACAGTAGTAAAAACACCTGTCAAGCCCTCTTCATCATCCTGAAATGGTACTCAGACTGCAGTCACTTCAGAGTGCGCTTTCTTCGGGATAATAGGAAAAACTAATGTTTGTTGAGCCCAAACTATGTGCACTTCATCCTCACCCCAACTCTATGGTGAAACGCTTTAAAAAAAAAAATTTTTTTTTTTAATTTTAGAGATGAGTTCTCACTAGGTTGCCCAGGCTGATCTCGAACTCCCGGGTTCAGGCAGTCCTCCCGCCTGGGCCTCCGGAAGTGCTGGGATTACTGGTGAGAGCCACCGCACTGGCCGAAAACAGGAATAGCTCCATTGTACAGGAGCGGCACTGGAGGTTCCATGACTTGCCCAAGATTCATGCCCAACTTTCTGGGCTGGCTCCAGAGCGAGGCCGAGTACAGGCCGACGGATCTGTGTGTAGCAGTCAGATTTGTGGGCACCGTCTGTGCATCTTCTCTTGGTGTTCAGATTCCTGAACATGTATGGCTTGAAACACAGGTTATAGCTCCTCTGGAACTGGCCCTGAGTAATTATAAATAGAACCCTGACTTGTATTAGTACGGATCTTTATTCTTAATTTCTGTTATTAATTCTCCAGACATTGTTGATCACCGTTACTTGGCTTCCTTAGGAAACAGCTTGGGGCTGGCACCGGAGGCAGGGAAATAATTCTTACCCCTTAAGGGCTATTAAAGTGAAATTGATTTCATGCCATTGTGTCAGTTAAAGGATGTTGCTGTGTTTCTCGGTGTTCTCTGCTTTTGGCTTTAATTCTGCATTGTTTAGGATTTCAAGGCTTCAGCATATTTTTTTTTTCTGCCCTTCAGTTTGTCTTTGTCATTTGTCAACTTTAATTTTTCCTGTTTTGATGGGATCTGACCATTACATGGCAGCTTTGCTTAGCAACTGTTGATTCAGCTCATGCTTTTAAATATGAAAGTCACCAGCATACTTTTGAATCCCAGAACTTCAAAGGCAATCCCTGGGGAATTCGCTGTTATTTTGAATATTGGTCAACAGGGGGAGCATAGCGCACTGTTGATGTCTACCAGGCTCATAAACCAGTTCTGAGAGCACTCGACGTACATTTCAGAAGTGGAAAATGTGGCTTTATCTAGCAAAAATAACCAAGTTGCTTTCTGAGTTTATAATAAAGAGCTGGATTTAATTTCAACTGATTAAAATAAGAATGACCAGGCCAGGCGAGGTGGCTCTTGCCTATAATCTTAGCACTTTGGGCGGGCTGTGTTGGGTGGATCACTTGAGTCCAGGAGCTGAAGACCAGCTTGGGCAACACAGTGAGATCTCATCCCAACAAAAAAAAAAAAAAAAGAAGAAGAAATTAGCTAGGTGTGGTGGCACATGTCTGTGGTCCCAGCTACTCAGGAGGCTGAGGTGGAAGGATCGACTGAGTCCAGGAGGTTGAGGCTATGGTGAGCCATGATTGTGCCACTGCACTCCAGCCTGGGTGACAGAGTGAGAATCTGATTCAAAAAAATAAAATTTAAATTAATAAAATAAAATAACAATAAGAATGACCCTGAGGACAGGGCCTATGTGTTGGGTACATGTCAAGAACTCTATGGTGGCTGACCGGATATTAAATTCACACACAAGTAGCTTTCTCAATATGTTTTCCTTAAGAGGTATGCATGTAAAATAATTTTATTGATTTGAATAATTTTTCACATTATCTAGGAGAACTGGCATGCGGAGAAATCCATCGTGATCATCCCTTAGTAATGATCCTCATTTGTCTTTTGTAGAAAACTGGATATAATAAATTTGTTCTCAGGGTAGATAGTGTGTTTGCCATCTGCCATTACCATATTTCATTAACATCTTCCGAGTGCAAGACAACAAGCGATGGTTAACTCCAAATAGCAGCAGTTCAATGATTGCACTTGTCTATTTCAGTATAGTAACAGTTCAGAAGAATCATGTCAGATGCTAACATCTATGAAGTGTCTATGAATGCTCATCCCTGGAAATATAAATGATATTTAAGAATTAACATGCTTGGATAATCAGTCAAACTCATTTTTTAAAAAGGTTTTCAATTTTTGTAGGCTAGTTTCCTTTTCAGTTTCTTGTGTATCATGTAGTACTGATTAAACTTTATTTCTTTACCAAGTTAGAAGCCGATGAATCCTGTTTTAAAATAACGTTCAAGCTTAGTCCCGTCTTTCTTTTCTTTTCTTTTTTTTTTTTGTTGAGTTGGAGTCTCATTCTGTCACCCAGGTTGGAGGGCAGTGGCACACTCACGATCACCGCAGCCTTGAGCTATCTGCTGGGCTCAGGTGATCCTTCTGCCTCAGCCTTCCAGGTAGCTGGAACCACAGGCATGCACCACTACACCTTGCTGAGTTTTTGGTTTATTGTAGAGACAAGGTCTTGCCATGTTGCTCAGGCTGGTCTCAAGCCCCTGAGCTCTGGCAATCCTCTCACCTTTGTCTTCCAAAGTGCTGGGATTACAGGCTTGAGTCACACCAAGCCTCGCCTAAATCCCTTCTTTCTAAATCTCAGCATTGCACTTGCACTACAGAGTAGCATTTATTTAGAATTTCATTTAGTCTTCCATGCTGCGATTGTTTACTTATTCAGCAAACACTGATCACTCCCTTCTCCCTAACAGGTTTATGAGTCCTGGTTTTGGAGTTTGGCAAATTAGCTGTCCTTTTTCAATCCTCTGATAGCTGGGGGCCAAGATATCTTAAGGTTGCCCAGGGCTTTCTCGAGGAAAGCCTTTCATGATTGACAAAATTGGTTAGCTTGAAGGAAACTATTGCCAAATTCTTTTTAAGATTCCAAGGAATTAATCTTTCCCTCTTGCGTACAAACATGGTTGCGTACAAAGTCAAGGTGACTGTTTTTCTGAGGGTAGACTCTGAGCCCAAGAGCTCAGGGAACTCAACTGTCTGTTGAGTTCTAAGAAGGTGACCACTGCTGACTTCTTTGATATAAAAGTGATGGCCAATTTCCTGGGCTCAAAAATCTGTGACTTTACATTTTAAACTTGACAGACAGAACGGTTAGAATTTAGAGGATGACTGTGTAAATAGTAACACTGCTGTAATATTTTTCCTAGATGAGTGCTCCGGGATCATTTTGAATTACCCTCGTTCTTGATAATTCATTTTGAAGTGTATTTTTTTCTGTCCATTCATTGCTATTGGATGAGAAGTTTTAACTGTCAGACTTATTAGTTACTAGAGGACAAGCTTCTTTTTCACTCTTAGCAGTTATTTTAAAAGCGATTTGATCACTGTTTTGGTCAGTCCACTGGGGTATTTTCTTTAAAATTTCAAACTTGTTTGAGTTTTGCTTTAATTTTTAAAATGTTAAATATTTTTTGAAATTTGCATAACTTGAGTTATATTTCTTTTTTTTTTTAGTTGGGGTCTCACTCTGTGCCCAGGCTGGAGTGCAGTGGCATGATCACAGCTCACTGCATCCTCAACCTCCTGGGCATAGGTGATCCTTCCACCTCAGCCTCCTGAGTAGTTGGGACTACAGGCATGTGCCACTAAACCCGGCTAATGTTTTGATTTTTTTGTAGAGACGCAGTCTCGCTATTTTACCTACACTGGTCTCAAACTTCTGAGCTCAAACAATCCTCCCGCCTCA